AAGTGGTCCCGCTTCAATCTACTTCATATCTTCCCCACCCTTTTATTATTTTTCCTTATAAGAACAACTCAAATTTCTGTACAGTCCTTGGTTTGTTCCCAAACTTTCCAAAAACAAGTCCATCTTAAGCCAGGAGTGGTGACATGCTTACAATACCAGCATTTAGGACGGCTTTGAGTCAAGAGGATAAAGTTTGACTTAACCTTGTGCTCCCTTGCTCAAAAACAAAACAAAATCAAAAGGAACCAAGCAAACAAACCTCACTTCTGTTCCCCGCATTCCTGGCTAAGAGGCCTTTGTGTAAGGGAGACCTTCTGAGCTGTGCTCAGCAGGGAGTGGTTGCTGGTGGGGTTTCTAGGAATCTCCCTGCCCACTGAGCTGGGCTTTGTGCCTATTCATTTCCTCCTAATGACACTTTCATCTGACTGCTTGTTCAATTGAGAGAAAAAGACAACTGTCTCATTTAATCCATGGCAGTTCTCTCCTATGCCCCTCCAAACAGCCCATAACTGATGCATATTCTTTTTTTAAAGATATATTTATTTTTATTTTATATGTGTAGGTGTTTTGTCTACATGTATATATGCGTACCACATGCATGCTTCGTACCCATGGAGATTAGAAGAAGACGTTGGGTTCCCTGGAACTGGAGTTACTTATGATTGTGAGCTGCTATGTGGGTGCTAAAAACTGAGCCCAGATCCTCTGCAAGAGCAGCAGTGCTCTTAATTACCGAGCCATCGCTGTAGCCACTACCTCTGTTTCTTGATTTACCACCTTCTTGTACTTTGTCCTCTCTCTGCCAAGACCGAGGACAGTTTAGCTCAATAGTATTACTTCCCCGAGCACTCGTCTATCGTAATTTTAGTTCTTCTGCTGGCTTCTTTGTAAGTTTAAATAACTGATTCCAGCCGGGCGGTGGTGGCACACCCCTTCAACTGCAACACTTGGGAGACAGAGACAGGCGGATCTCTGTGAATTCCAGGCCAGCCTGGTCTACAGAGTGAGTTCCAGGAAAACCAAAAATAAATAGCTGATTCCATATATATTTTTAGGATGCTAGGGAATAATGCTTATTTTTTTTATAGATAACCGCTGTCACCTTGTCATCTCCTTGTCTCTTCCCTCTTTATACCCCTTAGCACTTGCCATTTCTTTTATGATTTCATGATCTCTATCTTCATCCCCACAATTGAGACTCCACTTCAGTCTTACAGCAAAGGACAACTTGGCCCAGTGTACAGTTCTGTAGAAGCTGTTTGCTCAAAGTTTTTTACATATCTGCTTCCAGACTGGGGGGGTCACCAGTGATGCAGCACTCACTCAGCAGGCATGACACCCCAGATTCCATTTTCTAGACTGTTAAGACCGCCTTTAATCCCAGCACTTAGGAGGCAGAGGCAGGCAGATCTCTGTGAGTTAGTTCAAAGCCAGCCTGGTCTACAGAGTGAGTTCCAGGACAGCCAGAGATGTTACACAGAGAAATTCTGTTCTAAAAGACTAAAAAGAAAGAAAGATAAATGCATTGCTTATTATCTTCCCTGAATCTGGGGTTGCTGATATTGGGGACTGCAGAGATGCTCACTGGCTAACAGCACTTGTCACTCTAGCAGAGGACCTGGGTTTAGTTCCCAGCACCCACATGCTGGCTTACAATCATTTGTAACTCCAGTTATAGGGGATCCAACGACTTTTTCTGACCTCTGTAGGCAGCACACATACAATGTTGAAAACACTCATATACATAAAAACTTTTTTTCTGAAATTTTTAAATTGATATTTATTGAGCTCTACATTTTTTTTCTGCTCCCCTCCTCCCTTCAATGCTCCCCCATGGTCTCTATGCTCCCAATTTACTCAGGAGATCTTGTCTTTTTCTACTTTCTACTTCCCATGTAGATTACATCTATGTAAGTCTCTCTTAGTGTTCGCATTGTTGTCTAAGTTCTCTGGGATTGTTGTTTGTAGGCTGGCTTTCTTTGCTTTATGTTTAAAACCCACCTATGAGTAAGTACATGTGATAGTTGTCTTTCTGGGTCTGGGTTACCTCACTCAATATGATGTTTTCTAGATCCATCCATTTTCCTGCAAAATTCAAGCTGTTGTTATTTTTTCTGCTGTGTAGTACTCCGTTGTGTAAATGTACCACATTTTCCTTATCCATTCTTCAGTCGAGGGGCATTTAGGTTGTTTCCAGGTTCTGGCTATGACAAACAAAGCTGCTATAAACATAGTTGAGCACATGTCCTTGTGGCATGATTGAGCATCCTTTGGATATATACCCAAAAGTAGTATTACTGGGTCTTGAGGAAGGTTGTTTCCTAATTTTCTGAGACTTCGCCACACTGACATCCAAAGAGGTTGTACCAGCTTGCATTCCCATCAGAAATGCAGAAGTGTTCCCTTTTCCAAGAACTCTTTTTTTTTAACCAGGTGTGAGGTGGCACACCTTTAATCCCAGCTCTTGGAAGGCAGGTAGATCTCTGTGAACAGAGTTAAGTTCTAGGACAGCCAGAGCTACATAGTGAAATCAGGTCTCAATCTCCCTCTACCGCCAAATAAATACTTAATAAATAAATGAAAAGGATGTTGTTTTCATCCTTTTTATTTTATATGTTACAGTTTTAGTGTGTGTGTGTGTGTGTGTGCGCATGTGTGCACATGTGAGTGTATGTGTGTGTGTTGTATGTGTATACATGTACAGGGGCCAAAGATGGTCAGCTGCTCTGTGTTATCACACTCCACCTATTTCCTGAAGACAGTCTCTGAACTTCAAGCTAGTCTGGCCCTCAGCAAGCCCCAGCATTTCTCCTGACTCCACAAGCATGCTTCACAGCCCTGGGATTATAAACATGTATGCAACCATGCTGGACTTTTGACTTATGTGCTGGAGATTTGAACTCAGTCTTCATGGATATTCAGCAAGTGCTCTTAGCTGCCGAGCTGTCTTCCCCAGTCCCTTGGTTTTTACTCTTCAGTTGGTAATAAAACCAGTCACCTTTCATCCTGAAAGCTTAAGGTTTTTCTCGACCTTAGATGTTCTGACAGTATGGGGAATGGAGGCAATATATTTATCACTGATCCATGCAAAGCCAACCTTGTTTTATTGATGCATTTTCTCCTTTTTTCTATCCTCTCTATTCCTATCCCCACCTTAGATAGCATGATATTTTTTTCTCATTGAATCATTGGTTGGGTCTTTATTCAATAATAGGCTGCCTCTATTTGGTCTTTATGTAATAAAACAGACTTTAATGGTGTAGGCCCCTTTTGCATCTTCTTGGTTGTAAAAGGTCTGTTGTTGTTTTTCTGGGTTTTTTGAGTGGCATTATGCTGTAGTTTTTTTGTTTGTTTTCATTTTTTTACTCTTTTTTTAGGACCTGAAGAACATCCAACCTGCTCTGGCATAATACTCTTTTCTGCATAGTGTCTGTCCTCTTTCAATTTAAATTTTTTTATGGTCTGAGGACTGGAGAGATGACTCCGTGGTTACGAGCACTAAGTGCTCTTCCAGAGGATCCGGTTCAATTCCCAGCACCCACATGGTAGCTCACAACTGTCTGTAACTCCAGTCAGGGGATCCAACACTCTCACACCAATGCACATAGAATAAAATTTTTAAAATTTTTAGCAAATTTACGGTCTGCCACTTCATGAACTTTTTAAGTTTATATACTAATTTTTAGAGAAGTTTAATGTTCACAGCAAAACTGTGAAGAAGGCACAAAGATTTCCCACACGCCTAGATTTCCACAAAGTTCAGCGCTTGCTGTTTCTTCTACAATTTCGTGCTCTTTCTTCATCCCTGGGACCGGGACTCCCTTGCACCGTTGTCAGCATCCCAGCAGTGGGACACATGCGTTGCTATTCTTGTAACTCCATTTGACAGATCATCAACCAATCCATTGTTCCTATCACAGGGCACTGCTAAGGAGGTGCTGCACACTCTGTGGGCTTGGACAGTGTCATAGAGTAATGTCAAGGTCCTAAAGTTCCTCATGTTCTGTTTCTTCCTCTCACCCTTTAATGCCCGGCACCCACCTGTCATTGTATTGTCTTCATAGTTTTGTCTTTGCTTGAACATTATATTGAATGCTGCAATACACACCTTTTTTAGATTGGCTTCTTTCACTTAGTGATATACATAAGATTTTCCAGGCTTCTTATAGCTTAACTCTCTCTCTTCTCCCCCATCTCTCTCTGCCCCCCTCTCTCTCCTGTCCCTGCAAGAAGTAGTATAAAAAATATTTTATTTAAAACAAAACAACAAAGCCAGGCAGTGGTGGCACACACCTTTAATCCCAGCACTCTCTGTGAGTTCGAGGCCACCCTGGGCTACAAAGTGACTTATAAGATAGCCAGGGCTACACAGAGAAGCCCTGTCTCAAAAAAACAAGTAAAAACAACAGAACAGTTCGTGTACACTATAAGGACTGACGGCAGACTACACCAGTGACAGCCTGCTCAAGGCCTTATTTCTCATTGAAGCTGTAACCCATGATCTGGGCATAACAGACATGTCTTCGTCTGCTGCAGGACATCTTCATACGGCTTTTCTTTCTTTCTCTGCCCTTATACTTTTGAAGTTGTTCCATATTCTCAAGATAGTGTTAAATCTGTGGGAACCTCTTTTCCCTACATCTCTTCCCCGGAACCCTTTTCCTTAATCCAAGCTTACTTGACTTTTTTCCAGATATATGGGGTTTTCTTCTTGGGAACCAACTCCATCTCAACTTCCATGTGTTTCTTTTTCCGGGCCAGCTGAATTTATCTTTGGGAAGGTAGGGGGCAGAGGAAGACATCAGGTGTCTCTCTCCATTGCTCCCCACTTTAGTTTTATTGTAAAAGTGATGGATGGATGGATGGATGGATGGATGGATGGATAGATGGATAGATGGATGGATGGATAACTAGATGGTATGTGTATGTTTCTGGGGGGGCACATGTGTGGAGGTCAAAAGTCAGCTCTTGAGAATTGGTTTTCTCCTCTCCCTCTGCAGACATGTGAGTCCCAGAAACCTAACTCAGACTTGGCAACAGATATTTTTATCCACTGAGCCATCTTGCCAGCCCTTAATGACTCATTTTCTTTGTGTATTGCGGTGCTGGGAATGACACCTAGACTCTCCTGCATGCTGGGTAAGTCCTCTGCTAACCAAGCTGCACCTCCAGCCCCTCAGGTCTTTGTGCTAACAATGCTTTGTTCTACACTGACCTTTGATTTGCCGTTCAGCCGGACACAGACTTTCAGGTTGCATTCCCCCCCCCCCAGAATCATTTTTCAATTAATTACATTTGTGTTTAGACAATTTCCATTTCACAATGCATACCAACCACTTTCTCCCCCACCGCCCTGCCACCTCTTCAGCCCCTCCTCCTCTTTACAAATCTCTCCTGCACTTTCCTGACCGCTTTGTTTAGTGCCCCACTGAGATTAAGCAGGGTGTCTCTATAATCATGGCTTTAGAGCTATCCATTTGGAGCCTGGTGGGCTCAGCAGTGGGTACACAATTAAAGACAATGGTCCCTTCCCCCCAGAGTCTATCAGTAGCCAATAGTTCAGAGGTAGCAGGTAGGGCCCCATGAACCCCTCCCCCTTCCTCTACTTCCTGTTGATAGGGTCAGTCTTCTATGGGCCCAGGTAACTACAGTTGTGAGTTAATAATTGCACTAGTTGTATAGAGTCTATAGAATGGAATTCCATAGCCCTTCACCCTATCTACTGGCTCTTACATATTTTCCATCCTGTTTTTCACAATGTTCCCGAGCCTTAGTGGGGGGTGGCTGGAATATCTTGTGTAGGGCTGGGTCCAAAACCGTTGCTATTCTCTGCATCTTAGGCAGCCTGAGTGTCTGTATTCATCGCCTTTCTTTGTAGGGAGAGGCTTCCCTGATTAAGGCTGGGAACAGCTTTTGTTCTGGGAGTAGGGACCACATGGAGAGATGCTGAGGCAGAACGGGAGGCGGGGTGGGAGTGCTTTTCCCAGAGTCTTAAGAGTATAGTCCTATTGTTTTCTGGCCTCTGGTGTGACTCAAGAATTCTGACATTTGCATGTTTCTTTTTCTTTTGTAGATGAACTAGTTTTTAATCTCTTGGCAAAGTCTTAAGATGAACTTTTTCCGAGTGATGTTCTGCAATTCCCACAGGGCATATCTGAGTGTCCCTGTGCTGGGCACACAGTTAACTCTTTGTATATAAAGGTTGCAAAGTTCTCTTGCACTTTTTTTGAGACCAGGGACCTCGAACTAACAAAGGCTCTTGCTTTCTTTCTAAGTTTTCTCCTTTCATTTTCTTTGCCCTCTTTCCAAATATCTCCTGCTCGTAGTTTGGAATCTCTTACCTTTTCTCTCATAGTTCTCATTTTTCCCTGTGTTTAGGGGTTTGGACTTATACTATGTTTTATCTTTAAGAAAAATTTCTTTGGCAGGGCTTAGGATTGCAATCTGGGTTTAATGCATGCGAGGCAAATGATCACAGAGCTGTACCCTCAGCTGTAAGTTACGTTTAAAGTATTATCAGCTATTTTAAGATAGTATCTCACCAGGACAGCCAGGGCTACCCGGAGAAACTGTGTCTCAAAAAAAAAAAATTTCATGTATCCTAGGCTGGTCCCACACTTGCTAAGTAGCCAAGGATGGTCTTAGATTTCATTCTCCTGCATCTGCCTCTTCAGTCTCTCCAGCTAGGATTACTATGTGCAGAACCGTACTTGGTTTATGTTTTTATGTTGTACTGGGGACTGACCCAAGGCCTTTGTGTGTATAAGGCATTCAACTAACTGAGCTTCATCCCCTGCTGTAAAATGGTAGCAAATTTTGGGGCTGGAGAAATGGCTGAGCGGTTAAGAGCACTGGTTGCCTTTCCAGAGGAAACATTCCTAGCACCCACATGGCAGCTCACAACTGTCCGTATCTCAGTTCCAGGTGATCTGACACCGTCACAACAATGTGCACAAAATTAAATAAATTATAAAAAATGTTAACAATTTTAATGAAGAAAGCTAGGGAGATGACTCAGTAAAATGCTTGCTACACAAGCCTTAGCACATGGGTTTGGATCCTCAGCATCTATGTAAGGAGGTCGAAAGAGCAGTCTCCCTGGGGTTTGATAGCCATCCAGTCTAGCTAAGTCAGACCTTCGGCCTAACCTGCATCTGCACGGGTACACATACACACTTACTTCACCTGCATATGCACGGGTGCATACACACATATACACACACTTTAACAGACTTGAAGTTTTAAATATGGGGACACAATTACCTTGAAGGTAGTGACCTCCATGCCCAGGATCTTGGAATAGAACGTGGTAGTGTCTTCAATGCTCTTTACGGTCATCACAACGTGGTCAAGTCTCTGGATAAGACCAGGGGAAGGGGTCTGACTGCTATTCCTCTGTAACTAAAATGTAAAAAAACAAAAAATAAAAAAACCCACCCAAACTCAGATAAAGCCAAAATGCCACCAGACACTTCCTGTTTTCTTCTACTCGGCTCCCATCACCTTCCCAAACACTGTGATCCCTCTCACCCACCCCAATTTTAAGAGAAAACTCCTGCAGAAAATCTCTGTAAAGTCCATTGCTCCTGTATGGATTCATACAAGAGGCCACATGTCACCTCTTCCCTGTTTTCTTCTTTGTTTCCTACTAGAAGGGCAAAGGTGAAGACTAGGGAAGTTGAAATTGACACAAACATGCCCTTGTTTTCCCCAAGTTGAAATTTCTTTTTGAAGATGTTACAAGATTCAGACCAGGCCATCAAAGCCTCCAGTGGCCAATTTCCCCTCGCGCTTCCTCCCTTCCTGATCCGCAGCTCTAATTGTTGGGGGCATGGCAAGGAGGAACCTGGGGTGGGTAGGATTGCAGAGATATTCAGTGGTTAAGAACACTGGCTGCTCTTGCGAAGGACTTGGGTTCGAGTCCCAGCACCCACATGGTGGCTCACAGCTGTGTCTGTGGTTCCAGGGACTCTGATGTCTTCTTTTGGCCCCCACAAAAAGGAGTGTCTGAGATGAACTAAAGGAGTCTGAAGCCCGGGGTGCTGCTGTGCACCTGTAACCTCCGCCCTTGGGAGGCTGAGGCTGGAGTCACAGATTCAAGGTCAACTAGGGACTGCCCTGAGACCGTGTCTCAAAAATGAAATGAAAGAGCAGAAAGAGGGGCTGGAGAAATGGCCCAGCGACTCTAAGGATATTTGCTGGACCTGGCTGGTTTCCAGCACCCACAGGGTGGCTCTAACTTAGTAGCTACTGTCTGTAACTTAGTAGCAAGGATTCTAACACCCTTTCTGGCCTCCCCAATCACTCTCACACATATACACATGAATACATACAAGCAAAACATGCATACACAAAAACAAGTTGTTGTTTTTGTTTTTTTTTAAAGAAAAGTTTCTGGGAATGTGTGTGTCTACAGAGTCAGTTCTGAAACTGTCTCAACCAAAACCAGCTGGGTGGTGGCGGCGGCAGCGCACGCCTTTAATTCCAGCACTTGGGAGGCAGAGGCAGGTGATCTCAGTGAGTTCAAGGCCAGCCTGGTCTACACAGCTAGTTCCAGGACAGCCAGAGCTACTTACTACACAGAGAAACCCTGTCTGGAACACCGCCCCCCCCACAAAAAAAAAACCCAAACAAAACAAAACTCAAAACCAACCAACTAACCAAAGAAGTAAATTGCTGCCACTTAAGCCCCACTGAAGAGAAAACCGTATGTTTTGTTTTATTTTTTCAGTCCTATTTGGGATTTGAGCGGTGACTTGCCTTGAGCGCTTACTGCTCTCCCAAAGACAAAGGATTTGGTGCCCTCTTCTGGCCTCCATGGGTATGAACTAACATACACATGATTAAAAAAAAATCCAAAGATGTCTTATTTAACTTTTTTATGTCTATAGAATCTGTATGAGCGCCCTGTTTTGTTCCTGATATCACTAATTTATGTTTCTCTTCTAATTCCTAGGGTGTAAACATAAATTATTAGTATTTTCTGAATCTGCTTGAAGAACCAGCCTTGGACATTGCCGATCTTTATTGAATGTTTGCTTTCTCTTTCCCTATCTCTCCTCTTATCTTTTCCCTCCTTCTGTGTTTTTTATGGTTTAAGAAAAGCTGTGTTTCCTAGCTTCTTGACAGGGAAGCTTTGGTCATTGACTTTTAGTTTCTTCTTTTCCAGTCTATGCCTGGCTCCCGCTCAGCACCGCTTCAGTGGCAGCCACAGTGGTGGTGGCTGTCTTAGTAGTCAGTTCCCTGGACACCACGCCTTCCCACCTTTGGTCTGCCTCAGAGTCCTCTTCAAGGTTTCCTCCAGGTTCTCAGGGCCTCGGGAACTTCTGACAGGCTTCAAGGTCAAGGTTTCCCGGGCCTTCCCTTGCTGCTCTACCAGGACAGCCCCAGAGCATTCCCTGGGAGCCAGCTTGGGCTATCTTCGCAAGTCTGAGGCTGAATTGACCCCCAGTTGAACCACCCCGAGAGAGCAGCTAGCCCTCAGTCTAGGCTCTCTCAAGTACGCCACACGTGACTGGCCTCCACAGGCCTAAGCAGGGCCTCTGCTGCCCTCTGATTATCTTTGAGAGAAGAGGCCCAGTGAAGCTGGTGAAAGGATGGGAAGACCACAAAGGTATTCCTGAGAAGAGAAGCAAGTCAGAAGACCCAGGTTGGGTATCCCCAGCCTGGCCAACACCCATGCCCAAAGCCCCCAGAGACCCCACACTCACCTGAGTCTCGGACGTTGGACCCCACATCCTGACTGGTGGACTGGAGGGCAGACAGTGCTACCTGGCAGGTAGGTTGGGGCTGGAGCTGGCTCTGTGCCTGGAGATCAAGGGGCAGGAATGGGAGGTGCTGGCTGAGGACATTGGGTGGGGACAGAGGCAGGAGGTTCAAAGCACCAAGACTCTAACTTAAAACTCAGGGTGTAGCTCAGTGGGGGGACAGTGTGCTTCTAAAGAGTCCCTGGGTTCCATTCCAGGCACTGCAAAAGCTAAACCAAACCCTGAAGGCCTTGAAAGTAAAAGCACAAATATAAAGACTTCCTCTTGAAATGAGGGCCTTCAGGGTGCTCTCTAATGGTCCTTCTCTGCCAGCTTCCAGATGTGTCGAATCCCGCTAAGCACTTCTCCATAAGAGCACAGAAAGCCACCCATCCCGAGTGGCCACCCAGAGACTAGCATGACCATGTGAGAAAGCTTTGATCTTGGAGTCTGAGACCAGGGTGTGAAGCATTTCAATGTCTGAGTTAGAGAATATGACCATTCTCATTTATTGTGGATCTGTTTCTGAGCTAAGATTTCTCTATAAGGGATATGGGTGGGTGTTTTGCCTGCTTGTATGTCTGCACCTTCCTGTTCACAGAGACCAGAAAAGGGAGTTGGATCCCCTGGAATGGGAATTACGGGACAGGCCTGAGTTGCTACACAAGTACTGGGAATTGAACCTGGGCTCTCCAGAAGAGCAGCAGGTGCTCTTAACTTCTGATGCATTTCTCTAACCAGAGCCAAGGTTTTTTTGAAGCAGGGTCTTGCTATACTTAGTTCCTACCCACTCTCGGTCCCCTCCCCCCCCTCTACTGTTTGCCTCTCTCTAAGTCAAGCTCCCTTCTCTCTAGTGTGTTACCTCTCTGGACCAGGGATAGGTGAGTTTGAGATTTTTGCTTCTAGATACACCCTAACCAGGATCTCTGGTCTCCTCAGGTACCAGGCATACAAGTAATGCACAGACATATATGCTAGCAAAACATGCATACACATAAAATAAAAATGTATATTTTTTTAAGTTTCAGGCCAACCTGGGCAAGTTATCAAAATAAAAGGTGAGGGGGCTGGAGAGATGGCTCAGAGGTTAAGAGCACTGACTACTCTTCCAGAGGACCCGTGTTCAATTCCCAGCACCCACATGGCAGCTCACAGCTGTCTGAAGATCCAGTTGCAGGGGATCTGACACCTTCATACCATTGCACATAAAATAAAGTTAAGTAAACCATAAAAATATTAAAAAAAACAACTCTTTAAAAAAATAAAAAAAAATAAAAGGTGAAAACAGGGTTAGAGATGCAGCTTAGTGGAAACATGTTTGCCTGGTTCTAAGATCAGTTCCCAGCACAACAAAGAAAGCGTCTTGTAGAACTAGGCTGGTGGGACAGGTCTGGATTTCCAGCCTTCAGGAGGCCAAGATTTCAGACCAGCCTGGGTCACAGAGTGAATTCCATAGTGAAACCCCGTCTCAAAAAGGTTGAGGATGTGACTTAGTGACTCAGTGATAGGGCGCTTGCCTTGACCGTACCAGGCTGTATGCGGTTTTGATTGCCAGCACTGAAAAAGAAAGCTGCAAGTGAGTGCCACCTGTTATTAGTGTATGGACCACACAGGCCATCCCTGGCCCATCTCCAAAATGATCACGGGCAGAGGCACCTCCAGGTGTTGCATCTCTTAGATACTTCTCTGTGTGTTTGTGAGCACGTCTAGGCATGCAGTCTGGGTCACCACAAGTGGCTTGCCTTTGCTTGTCTTGTAAAGGGCACCTTACTCTGCAAGTCCACACAGAGCGCATGTATTCTGCTCTGTACTTAGTGGCCACTCTGTATACAATAGGAAGCCCCCACCCCAATCATCTGAATCACGCAGCAATAGTCATTGGCTATGAATGACCTTTTCCTGTTGTTCTTTTTTTCTAAATTTATTTATTTATTATGTATACAATATTCAGTCTGTGTGTATGCCTGCAGGTCAGAAGAGGGCACCAGATCTCATTACAGATGGTTGCGAGCCACCATGTGGTTGCTGGGAATTGAACTCAGGACCTTTGGAAGATCAGTCAGTGCTCTTAACCTCTGAGCCATCTCTCCAGCCCCTGTTGTTCTTTTTTAGAGAGACTTTTTATGTAGCCGCCCAAGATGGGCTTACCCGCGGAGTGATTGGCTCTGCCTCAGCTTCCTGAGTGCTGGAATTCCAGGGTGGATTCCTGAGTTATAAGTGAATGCTTATAAGATTGTTCTACTCATGTTTCTCTTCATTGTTATACTTTTTTAAAAATTAATTTTAAAATTGATATGTATGTATTAAATGCCATGCATGTGCAGGTGCCCATGGAGATTAGAAGAAGGCATCATGTCCCCTGGAGCTGGAGTTACAGGCAGTTGCGAGCTGCCTGGCATGGGTACTGGGACCTGAACATGGGTTCCCTGAAAAAGCAGCAAGCACAAATCTTTCACCTTTTACAAGGTTTCCTCATCACTCCTCTCAGACTTGTGTCCACTGCTTCGTGTATTTACGTTAGTGTTAGGGGCATAAGTAAAATTATTGGGTGTATTTCTGAGGCTTCTTCCAAGAAACCAATATGTGATTTATTTAAAGGAACTAACACATATTATTATGGAAGCTGAGAGGTCCCATAGTAAGTCACCTGAAAACTGAGGACCTATAACAGCCAGGAGGACAATTATAGAAGTTCAGTTGAGGGACAAAGAGTAAACCCCCCTTCCTCTGCCTATTGTTCTATTTAGCTCCTCAGTGGGTTGGATGAAGCCTGTTCACAAGAGGGAAGGAGGGCCCTCTGTATTGTTCAGTCCAGGCACTCAGTGAAGTGTGTCACTTCATCTGACATGCCCAGAAAAATGTTTAACTGGGGCACCTCACATTGCAGTCAGTCTAACACATAGAATTATCCAGCAAAGCTCACCTGTGGTGGTTTGAATAATAATAGCCCCCATAGCCAGGCTTAGTGGTACACTCCTTTAATTCCAGCACTTGGGGGGCAGAGGCAGGAGGATCTCTGTAAGTTCAAGACCAGCCTGATCTACAGAGCACGTTCCAGGGACAGCTGGAGCTACACAGAGAAACCCTGTCTCAAAACAAAAGCATAAACAAAAACAAAGCAAAAGGAATGCCCCCCATAGGCTCATATATTTGCTTAGTCATCGGAGAGTGGTAATACTTGAGAGAGATTAGGAGCATGGCCTTGTTGGAGAAAGTGTGTCACTGGGGTGGACTTTGAGGTTTCAAAAGCCCATATAGGCCCAGCCCCACTTCAGCCCCTGCCTGCGGATCAAAATGTAGCCCTCAGCTACTTCTCCAGCCCTGTGCCTGCCGTGCCTGCAGTCTGTACCCTGCTCTTCCCCCATGATGACTAGGGATTAAACCTCTGAGACTGTAAGCAAGCAGCAATTAAATGCTTTCTGATAATAGTTGTCAAGGTCATGCATGGTGTTTCTTTACAGCAATAGACCAGTGACTAAGATCTACCCTTTGTCAACTTGGCACTTAGATGCATCTCATTAAGCCACGCTAATCACCAAATGAGTACAGTAAAGAGGGCAGCTGTTCCCCTAACCTGACACAGCAGTCTCTGCCCAGAAGAGGTCAAGTGTTTGAGCCTGCTGACTTTCCCCCTTGCTATCCCACAACTTAAACAGTAAGGTCAGCAATATTTAAATACTGAGAGAGGGCCGGGAGCTCAAGTCTTGCTGGCTTGGAGCTTGCTAAGTCAACTATGTTGGTCTCAAACTCACAGAGATCCACCTAGCTCTGCCTTTTGAGTGCTGAAAATATATTTTTAGGTTTGTTTACTTTACATGTATGGTACATGTCTGTGTGTACACCACATGCATGCCTGGTGCCCACGCAGGTCAGAAGAAGGTGACCCGATCCCACGGAACTGTAGTTGTAACTGGCCGTGAGCCACCATGTGGGTGCTGGGATCTGAACCCAGGTCCTCTGAATGAGTAGTCAGCACACTTAACCACTCATCTATCTCTCCAGGCCCTGCAAAAAAAATGTTTTCAGCTTTAGGAACTTTATTTTCCTTCCACCTTTTCCTTTCTTTGCGCAGGTGTCTGCAGAACAGCTCAGGATCGCTCAGTGGTGACTCCAACTCATCAGTGGCCTGCCCTGTGGTAGCTGCTGACCAACCCTCAGGCTGGCTGGGCACTCAGGTCTTCAGTAGGGAACTGCTGGGTGGGTACAGAGGGCACCTGCACACCCTCAGAGCAGGCTGTCTCCTCTGGTTGAGCAGCAGTGACCTCAGGAGCCCTAAAATCCCGCCTTTGTCCCAGTTTTCTCAGCAGCAGCCTGATCCTCCTCTGGGTCTCTGTAGGTCAGGCATAACATCCCATGGGTGCTCACTCATGCCGAGAACTTCCCAGGCCAGCATCCGCTTCAGACCCACCGAGTGAGTACCCACTGGGTGAGTGTTGCATGGGCTAGCAATGTCCACATACTACAGAGGCAAGTCTGCATTACACAGAGTCAGTGGTAGGCAGGTTGGTGTAAGATGCCTTATGAGGAGCTGGGGAGGGTCAGTTCTGGGATCAGTCATCACTAGACTTAGTGACTTCCAGTGATTTCCTGGAGGCTGCTTGGATTTGGACTTCTAGTGATTTCCTGGAGGCTGCTTGGATTTGGTTACTGAAGACCCGTGATGTAAAGCGGTCAGCAATTTGAGTAGCTCCAGTGGCGGCAGCAAACTTCAGCACGGCTCGCTGGCCAGTGTCCCTGGAGGAGATGATGCTGACATGAGCAGGGATCTCAATGGCGGCAAGAGCCTGAGCTGCCGGCAACAGCTTCTCCCGGGTCCTCCCCAGATTTATGATGTAGATGCCATCACTTTTCCTTTTGTAGATGAACTGCTCCATCTGAAAGTCGAGGTTAGCCGAGCGGTGGTGGCACACGCCTTTAATCCCAGCACTTGGGAGGCAGAGGCAGGTGGATCTCTGTGAGTTCGAGGCCAGCCTGGGCTACAAGAGCTAGCTCCAGGACAGGCTCCAAAGCTACAGAGAAACCCTGTCTCGAAAAACAAAAACAAAAACAAAAAAGAAAGAAAAAGAAAAGAAAGTCAAGGTTGGTGCCACCTAAGTGGGTTCCTATGACAAGGAATTTGAGGACATCCTTCTCCTTCATCTTCAGGACATCAAGAGCTCTGAACATTGTGTAAGTGTCCCTTTAAGTTACAATGGAAAACAAAACAATGCCATAGGGACCTGTCCTTGGGTAGTGTGGAAAAGGTGGAAAAGAAAATAAAGAAAAATATGTATATGTATTCCTTGTCCATTTCTTAAAAACAACAACAAAAAAAACAACAAAAAAACAAAAACAAAAACAGCGCCATAGGGACCTGTCCCTGGGCAATGTAGGGAAGGTGGGGAAAAAAGAAAAATGTCTACGTGTGTGCTCTTAAACTCTGAGCCATCTCTCCAGCTCCTCCTTGTCCGTTTCTTTTTTTAAAGTTTTAAATTTTTATTTTAATGTGCATGTACATGTCGGTGTGCTCATGTGTGCGCACACATATAGAGGCCAGAGGACAAGCGCAGTCATTCCCTCCAGCAACGCCTCTCATGCCTGGGGCTCACCGATTACTCTTCCCCGTCACTGGAGCACAAGCGTGTTTTGAGCCGCGATACCAGCCGGCATTCTAACAACAGATGCTGGCCCTAGAACTCAGGTCCTCAGGCTTGCAAGAAAGTACTCCACTGCCTGAGCATCTCCCCAACCCCCTTTGCCCAGTTCTACATTGGTTGTTTTTTTCGGGGGGGGGGCGGTAATTGAGTTTCTGGAATTCTCTATCTACTCTGGATATAAATCCCTCACCAGGTATGATTTGCAGATAGTTTCTTCCATTCTATGGGTTGCCTTTCTATTAGAGAGTGTATTTCTACCCTACAAAAAAGTGCTTGTTTTTCTTATCTTCCTTCCTTTTTTTTTTTTTTTTTTTTTTTTTTCAAGACAGGGTTTCTTTGTATAACAGGCCTGGCTGTTCTGGAACTCACTCTGTAGACCAGGCTGGCCTCAAACTCAGAGATTCTTCTACCTCTGCCTCGTGAGTGCTAGGATTAAAAGCATGTGACACCATGCCTGGCACCATTTCCTTTTTTAAACGTTTTTTTTTATTGCCAGGTGGTGGTGATGCACACCTTTAGTTCCAGCACTCAGGAGGTAGAGACAGGTGAATCTCTGAGTTTGAGGCCAGCCTGGTCTACAGAGTGAGTTCTAGGACAGCCAGGGCTACACAGAGAAACCCTGTCTCAAAATAAGGAAGGAAAGAAGGAAGGAAGGAAGGAAGGAAGGAAGGAAGGACGGAAGGAAGGACGGAAGGAAGGACGGACAGATGGAAGGAAGAAAGGAAGAAAGGAAGAAAGGAAGAAAAACAAAAGAAAAAGAAAGAAAAGGTCACTGACTATGTACAAGGGAGACAGACAAGAGCTGGAGCAGGGGTCCATTTCTGGGACCCTGTGCCTTAGCTTCATTGCTGTTCGCATGTTGGATGATTTTGAACAGGTTCCTGGGCCTCTTGGTGTCCTTGTTTCTCCCGTTGATCAATGAAGGAATCAGGCAGGGTCTTGAATTTAGCTCCTAGACTGCTGGGGGCCAAGTGGCTCAAGGACAGAAGAGAAAAGTAAGTTCTGTGTTCTTGGGGTCGTGAGGGACCCGCTATGAAGGATGAGAGGAGCAGGCAGAGAAAGGAAGCAGAGCCTCCCTTGTCCAGGCAGCAAGGGCTGCCTTCCAGGCTGATGTTTTAAGTTCAGCTGCTTAGAAATCCCACCATGCCTGCCCTGGAGGAAAAAGTGGCCTGTCTCCCTGTCTATGCTTTTGCTGCCACCTGCAGGCCGAGCCCTGTAGCAACCACCGTCTTGAGTCCATTCGGCAAGCAAACCCAATGCACAGACAACTCCTGTTCAGCTGCTCAAGAGGATCTGGACTTCCGGACACAAGTGATGCTGCTGACTCAGCCTCCCAGATAGCTGGGACTTCAGGTGTGTACCACCCTGCCTGGCTTCTTCCTGTTTAAACATTATCTATTGACAATCTATTGTGTGCACAGATTGAGGCCAGATGGCACTGGGAAAACATCAGAAAGCTATCTCTCTCAGTTAATGATTGGGGGAGGGTGGGAAGAGACAGATGCAAAAGGCAGATAGCAGCGGGACTGCTGTTCCCTGGGCTTTACAGGAGACCTCATTCCCTGCTTCTTCCAGCTTCTGATGGTTGCCAGCCTTTGTTGATATGTGGCTTCACTATTGCCACCTCTGGCTCCATGATCACGCTGCCTTCTCCTCTGGGTGTGTCGTCTAGTGTTCCATCACTCTACCTCCACTTTTGGGTTGTTTTGTTTTGTTTTGTTGTTGGTTGTGTTTTTGAGTCAGGGTTTCTCTGTGTAATTGTCCTGACTGTCCTGGAACTCACTCTGTAGACCAGGCTGGCCTCGAACTCACAGAGATTCGCCTGCCTCTGCCTCCCGAGTGCTGGGATTAAAGGCGTGTGCCACCACTACCTGGCCCCTACCTCCCTCTTGTAAGAACACTGTGGCAGGGAGACTAGACAGATGGCTCAATGGTTCAGAGAATTTGCTGCTCCTGCAGAGGACCTGGGTTCAGCACCTACATGGCTGCTCTCAACTGTCTATAACTCCAGTCCAGGGGAGCCAGTGCCCTCTTCTGACTTCTGTAGGCTTGTATGTAGCATAATACATGGTGCAACACATCCATGCAGGCAAATGCTTATACACATAAAATAAATTTTAAAATTAAAAAAGAAAACACTGTAGGGGATGGTTCTGAAGCTCAGTGCTAGAGTGCTTGCCTAGCATACTGAAGACCCTGGGTGTCGCCCCTGCCCCAGACACATGCAGAATAAAACAAAGAGAATAATTATGGCCCAGTGGTGGTGGCACATGCCTTTAATCCCAGCATTCAGGAGGCAGAGGCAGGCGGATTTCTATGAGTTTGAGGTCAGCCTGGTCTATAAGAGCTAGTTCCAGGACAGACACCAAAACTACAGAGAAACCCTGTCTTGAAAAAAAAAGCAAAACAAAACAAAAAAATCCACACACATCTATTTGGGGGCTTGAGAGATGGCTCAGAGGTTAAGAGCACTGGCTGGTCTTCCAGAGGTCCTGAGTTCAATTCCCAGCAACCACATGGTGACTCACAACCTCCCTAATGAGATTTGGTGCTCTCTTCTGGCCTGCAGACAAACATACAGGCAGAACACTGTATACATAATAAATAAATCTTTAAAAAGAGGGAAAGCATATAATAATTTTAAAAAAAATAATTATGATTTCATTTAGGACCCATCCAGATGATAGTTCTAGATATTGAATGTCAAAAAAAATTAAATTAATATGTATGAGTGTTTTGCCTACGTGTGTGCCTGTACACTACATGCATGTCTGATACCTCTAGAGGCCAGAAAGTGGCTGAGATAGGAGGGTCATGAGTTGAAGGACAGCCTGTGATAGCAAGAGAGAGCTCTAAATTAGATAGCCTGGATCATAGAGAGTCTGTCTTGAGAATGAAACAAAATACCTCTTATGGGTACCTTGTGAACTTTAGCTACACGATACAGTGTATATAGTGTGATACTCTAGACAGTGATCGTGGGTAAGGGTAGGGAGCATGCCTAGCATACGCTCAAGTCCTTGTACTGCCAAAAATTCATTTATCATTAACATATGACTAGCATGTGCTTATTAGGATACTATTAATGTGCTATTCAGCTATGAAGAAGAATGAAATGGAATACTATTCAACTATAAAATGAGTGAACCCATGTCCCTTGCAGCAAAATGGATGGACCTGGAGGTCATTATGCCAGAGAAAGAAAGGTAAGTGTCACATGCTCTTTCTCATATGTGAATACGGGAGCTAATGCATGCTTTATTTGAAAATTCTTATTACTAGGAGGATGGCTCCATTGTTTTATGGGAGCTGTTTGTTTGATTTTGAGATGGGGGGTTCTCACTGTGTAGCCCTGGCTGGCCTGTAACTTACTATGTAGACCAGGCTGGCCTTAAACTCAGAGAGATCTGCCTGCCTCTGCCTCCCAAGTGCTGGGATTAAATAAACACACTCCCATGTCTGGTCTAAATAAAGCCCAATTGTTATGTGGTATTCTAAGTCATTAATACTATCATTTATAACTTTATTTTTTAATTTACTTATTATGTATACAATGTTCTGTCTGCATGTATGCCTGCCCACCAAAAGCGGGCACCAGATCTCATAGATGGCTGTGAGCCACCATGTGGTTGTTGGGAATTGAACTCAGGACCTCTGGCAGAGCAGCCAGTGCTCTTAACCTCTGAGCCATCTCTCCAGTCCCCATTTGTAACTTTAAAATTGTTATTATGTCCATATGTGGGTATGGGCAATTGTGCCATGACATATATGTGACGGTCAGAGGGCAACTCTGTGGAGTGGGTTCTCCTCCCCTTCCACATTTACGTGGCTTCTGGAAATAGAAGTCGGGTTCTCAGGCTTTCATAGCAGGAGTTTGGACCTCCTGTGCCATTTCCCCTGCCTTACCATTCGGAGTGCTAAGGTGAGGAAATAGTCGCCAGTCATATGCAGGCTGTACAGTTGGGGAAGGTCAGGTGGCAACTAGGGCTCTGGGTGTCAAGGCAGTATGAAGTCGCTGGGGGCTTGTTAGGGAGACACTTGCCAAAGAGCCATTAGGCCATACCCAGCATTGAAGACGATGGGTGTGATTTCTGAGCCTCTGGGTGGAATTAGAGAGACATGGAGCCATACTCCTCTGAGCTTTCCTTGCAGAGAGATCAGCTGGTAGAAAACGAAGAGCCAGAGACCCTCAGGGTGGCTGCAGTGTCCCACGCTCTCAGGAAGGAAGGCTACCCAGCAGTGGACTTGGGCATTGTGGGAGAGCCCGTGACCTATCCAGAGGGGCAACCATGCTACATGCCGACCAGTGTCATTGTCCAGGTGTAGATACCTAGGAGCAAAGCAGAAGCCACTGAAATCTAGACTCTTTTTCTACTTTTCTTAAGGCACTAGAGACTGAACCTAGGGCCTCAAGCATGATAGCATGTGGGGAAAACATTTTCTCTTCGTTTTTTTGTGAGACAGAGTTTCTCTGTGCGGCCCTGGCAGTCCTGGAACTCACTCTACTCCCATACCCAATTTTAGGAGATGCTGGGTATCAAACTCAGGGCTTCCTACACACTAGGATGTTTTCTTTTTTTAAAAAAAGATTTATTTATTTATTATGTATACGTGCATGCCAGAAGAGGTCACCAAGTATCATTACACACTAGGCAAACATTCTATCAACTGGGCTGCATCCCAGGTCTTGTTTTAAGGCTGGCCTTGGTCCTCCTGCTCCTGCCTCAGCCTCCTGAGTGCTGTGGTTACAGATGGGCACCACGTATGCCAGGCTGCTAATTAAATACTTTTGAAAACTTTTTTTGCAGCCAGTAGACAAGAGCATAGACACCATAGAAGAGCATCTCTAGTAAATAGGTGAGAGATCTTCACCTTCAATCCTCATCAAGGAAAAGAGAAGCCAAATTACAAAGAGGAACTGCATGTAATACTAGATGAGTAAAACAATAATAAGATTAATTATTATTTTAATAATGCACACTTTCATCAGTGGCCTCAGGAAGGAATCAGTCTCAATGTATTGGATGTTCTCAAGAGCCTCCTGGTGGACAGGTGTGGTGGTGCATGCCTTGCAGTCCTAGTAATCAGAAAGTGGAGGAGGGAGGATCAAGAGTTCGAGGCCAGTCCGAACATATCACAGGGCCTTCTTTTTTAAAATATTTATTTATTTATTTATTTATTTATTTATTTATTTATTTATTTATTTATTATGTATACAATATTCTGTCTGCAGGCCAGAAGAGGGCACCAGATCTCATTACAGATGGCTGTGAGCCACCATGTGGTTGTTGGGAATTGAACTCAGGACCTTTGGAAGAGCAGGCAATGCTCTTAACCACTGAGTCATCTCTCTAGCCCATCACAGGGCCTTCTTAAGGAATACCCTCTACCACTGGGCTGGGCGGTGGTGGCACATGCCTTTAATCCCATGCACCACCACTGCCCAGCTCACAGGAACACCATCCACTTCCTTTTAGGCAGGGTCTCTCACTATCTTGGAGCTCATAAATTAAGTTGGACTGGCTAGCTGACAGGTCTCAGGGACCCTCCTGTCTGCCTCCCCAGCACTGGGATCGCACATGTATGCTCCTATAGCCCTATTTTACCATGGCTTCTGAAGCTTCTACCCGGGTCCTCTTGCTGGCTGGGAAAGTACTTTATCAACTATGCTATCTCTCTACGCTTTCTCTGTTTGAGATGTAATCTCACTATGTAGCCATGGTTGGCCTGGAACTCACTTTGTAGACCAAGCTGGCTTTGAACTCATGGACATTTGCCTGCCTCTGCCTCCCAGGTGCCGGGATTAAAGGTGTGCATTGTCATGTCTGGTCTTACTTTTCACTTTTTAACTTTTTAAAATTTAGCATACAAATATGCTAAAATATCATGCTATGACATTTTCATATATTAGGTATAGTTTCATTTCTTACAGTGCTGTGGTTGGAGCCAGAGCCTTCTGAATGCAGAGCAGGTACTCCTCTATGAACTACATCTTCAATAGGTATATATTACAGGTGAAACTTATTTTAATTCTGTGCTTGTGAGTGTGTGTGGAGCCTAGAGTCACTTGGTAGAGTGTTGCATTAGCTTTCCCTGGAGAGACATAAAAAGGCATCCAATAACCCCAGATGGGCACCAATGACAAACTAAAGTATGATTTCCCCAAAGTCCTTTTTTTTTCCAGACAGGGTTTCTCTGTGTCACAATCCTAGCTGTCTTGGAACTCACTTGTAGACCAGGCTGGCCTTGAACTCACAAGAGCTCCTCTGCCTCTCAAGTACTGGGATTAAAGGTGTATGCCACCACCACCACCCGGCTGTTTCCCCCAAAGTCCAATTTGGGAGACCAATGAGTTTGTTTGGCTTACTTACAGAGCATGGGTGGGGGCTTGCAGGAGTGCGGCTGACTTTAAATCAGGAGCATCACAGTAAAGGTCCACTTAATGGGTGGCTACCTCATGGAAGCTGCATGTGGTGCTTTAAATACATATGGCCCCCATAGCCTCATGTGTTTACCTACAGTGAGTGGCACTATTTGGAGGTGTGGCCTGCTTGGAGTAGGTGTGGCCTTGTTGAAGGAAATGTATCACTTTTGGGGGTGGACTTGAAGGTTTCACATGCTCAAAATATGCCCTGTGTGGTAGACACTTCACTTTCTGTTGCCTGGGGATCCAGATGTAGAAATCCCAGCTATCTCTCCAGTACCACGTCTGTCTTCATACTGCCATGCTTCCTGCCATGGTGATAATGGACTAAACCCCTGAACTGGAAGCCAGCTCCAACTAAATGTTTTCCATTATAAAAATTGCCCTGGTCATAGTGTCTCTTCACAGCAATAGAAACCCTAAGACACTGCATCATGGAGTTCTGTTTTGTTGTTTTGTCTTTGAGACAGGGTCTCACTGTAGTTCTGGCTAGCCTGGAACTCACCATGTAAATCAAACTGGTCTCAACTCAAATTCAAATTATATATGTATATATATATGTATATATATATATATATATATATATATCAAAAAGTTTGTATCTGTCAGTCACAGGATGTTAGGTTAGACACAGAGGTGAATTCAAGTCCAGCCTGGGCTATAAGAGCTAGTTCCAGGACAGGCTCCAAAAGCTACAGAGAAACCCTGTCTCCAAAAACCAAAAACCAAAAACCAAAAACCAAAAAAAAAAAAAGAAAAAGAAGTCAGAGGCTATAAATTAGACAGAGAACAAAGGGGAGGGGGTACATAGGAGGAGTTGAAGAGAGGAAAGGGGAAAACAATGTAATTATATTTTAATTTCATATTTTTTCTAAATATTTTAAATTTAAAAACTTGAAATGGAAAGTAATAGGACAGGACACTTAACATCCTTCTCTTGTTTCTATATATGTACATATTCATGTACATGTACATGCATGCACATGTGCATACAGTGCCTGTGGCTAAGAACCACTGGTTTAGGGTATTGAAGTGTTGGAACAGTCTGGGAATCTTTGTTTGAGTTTGTGTTATCCAGTTTTGAGTCAGTAAAGTACAGTATAATCTACCTGTTGATGTGCCTATTATGGTTTGGATGTGGTGTATCCCCCAAAAGTTCACATGAAGTAATGGAACTTTTAGATCTGAAGCCTAGCCAGGCAGTGGTTGCACAAACCTTTAATCCCTGTACTCTGGAGGCAGAGGCAAGGATCTCTGACTCAAGGCCAGACTGGTGGGTGTACAAATTGAGTTTCAGGACAGCCAAGGCTACACAGAGAAACCCTGTCTTGAAAAACAAACAGACAAGAATCTGAAGCCTAATGGAAGGAGGGTACTTGGGCCTTCGAGTTCCACCCTTGTGCATAGCCTATTGAGTGCTGTCTCACAGATGTGGATCTTGTCTGGTAACCATGGTTATAAAAAAACGAACTGCTGCACTCGGTGCTACAGTGCTTGCCTAAAGTGCACAGATCTTGGGTTTGATCTTCAGCAGCACAAAGAGAAGTGCAAAAATATGTCCCAGGCATGGGGCTTGTTATCCCAGTACCTGAGAGGTGGAGGCAGAAGGATTGTGTATTTGGGGCCATTCTGGTGAGGTCCAGACTGGGCTATGTAGGGAGACCAGGAGGAGGAGGGGCAGGGAGGTGATGGGTAGGATTGGCACACACTCGTATTACTAGCACTAAGGAACCTGGAGCAGGATGAGCCCACCTTTTATGGTTGTCGGTTGTTGTTGTATTTCTGAATATGATATCTATGTTTGTGAATTTTGTCAAGAATATATGTTCTCTTACCTATTTTTGTATATTTCAAGCCAGGAGGATTCTGTTTGGTGTTGACTGTTACAGTTTATGTGTTCATCTCAGGGAGTGAGGGTTAAAAGGGGTCTATGTCTGTATATTCCAGGCATTCAGATCTCTGGTCTGCTTGGGCAGATCTGAGTTCTGCTGCGAATTGAACCAAGGGCCTCAAACATTCTAGGCAAGTACTCTATCACTGAGCTATACCCCAGGCCCCTATGGGCTTCATCCTGTTCATCCTGGGATATATATATATATATATATATATATATATATATATATATATATATATAATTGGACTTGAGATCTCTGATCTATATGTGGGTTTCCCTGGTTTATATGGATGCTGATGTGTTCTTAAGGACATCCCACATGGTGAAAGCCCCAATCTGTTTGCTGATGTGGGTCTCAGAGCGTAAGGTCTCTTCCTTGAGTGATATCTGTGGTCTCTGGGGCTATGATCTGAAATGGAGCTATATCCAAAATGGAAATTCTTTGCCTTTGGTGGTTAACGGTGTGAATCTAATGTTTCCTAGTAAACGAGAGCTCTGATATGTTTGAGTTTTCCCAGGATGTGAGTTCTCTGCTGTTTCGAAGATGTATCACAGCTGTCTGTGATAATACATCCCAGAGTTTAGCCCCAGATCGCTGACAGCTACATACTTGTTATGGTTTAATATGAAATATTTCACACAGGCTCATGTACTAAACCCTTGGTCTCCAGTTGGTATCAGTATTTGTGTGGGGCGGGTGCTGGAGGAGAGATGGAAACTTGGCAGCTGGATCCTAGCTAGACTTAGTAGGTCACTAAGGGCATAGCTTCAAAGGGACTAGTCTCTAGTCCCTTTCTTTCTCTCTGCTTCCTGTCTACTCTTAGATAAGACACTGTGCCATTCCCTCTTTACCATGGTGAACTAAAACCCTGAAACATTCAATCAGAATATCTTTTATTACATTGTTTTTCACAAGCATATGGGATTTTTATTTTTATGCTTACACGTATAATTGTCTGGTTTATTATTTCATAAGACATGTATATCCCAGTTATGAGATTTATTATTTTGGTGTGGGAGGTTCTTCTGTTTGTGTGTTGCTTTCATTGGTTGGATAAAGAGACTGCCTTGGCCTTTTCATAGGGCAGTCCTTAAATGGGCAGAGTAGACAGAACAGAATGCTGGGAAGAAGGGAAGTTTGGCAGACGCCATGAATCTCTGGCCTGAGATGGATGTAGGTTAGAATCTCTCCCGGTAAACCACAACATCATGGTGACATACAGATTATTAGAAATGGGTTGAATCAAGATGTGAGAGTTAGCCAATAAGAGGCTAGAAATAATGGGCCAGGAAGTGTTTAAATGAATACAGTTTCCATGTGATTATTTCGGATATAAGCTAGCTGGACAGCCGGGACGAAAAGCAGGCCCACTCCTCTCTCTTACATTATTTGGTAAGACATGTATATCCCAGTTAGGAGATTTCTGAGTTCTCTGTATGTGACTGTGCCAGAACGAAGGCCCATGATCTGTTTACAAGTGTATTTCTATGCTGGCTAGCTTTATGTCAGCTTGAAGTAAGATAGAGTCACTGGGGGGGGGGGGCTCGTTTGAAAAAGATGCCTCCGTGAGGTCAGGCTGTAAGGTATTTTCTTAAATAGTGATTGATGAGGGAGGGCCCAGCCCATTGTAGGTGGTCCTGGGTTTTATAACAAAGCAGGCTGAGCAAGTCATATGGAATCAAACCAGTAAGCAGCTCCTCTCCATGGCCTCTGCATTAGCTTCTGCCTCTAGGTTCCTGTCCTGACTTCCTTCAGTGATGAACAGTGATATGGAAGTGTCAGCCAAGTAAACCTTTTCCTCCCCAAATTGCTTTTAGTCCTGGTGTTTTATCACAGCGATAGAAACCCTAAGTAAGACAGCATCCTAGAACTGCTATTCTCACCTCCTTGTGGGTATGGATCCCAGGATTTCTTGTTTTGTTTTGTGATAGAGGAGGGTTATCTGTCTATTGTTACTTTCATTGGTTAATAAAGAGACTGCCTTGGCCTTTTTGATAGGCCAGCCCTTAAGTGGGTAGAGTAGACAGAACAGAATTGTGGGAGAAAGAAAGCAGAGGCAGACAGTCGCCATGACTCTCCTCTCCAAGACAGCTGCAGGTTAGAATCCTCCTGGTAAGCCACCACCTCGTGGTGCTACACAGATTACTAGAAATGGGTTAGATCAATATGTAAGAGTTAGCCAATAAGAGGCTACAGATAATGGGCCAGGCAGTGTTTAAAAGAATACAGTTTCCATGTAATTATTTCGGGTAAAGGTAGCGGGATCTGGATGGCGGGAATGCAGCCCACCGCTCCTTCTACAGTTTTGTTTTGTTTTGTTTTACAAAATAAGGTTTCTCTTTGTGACAGCCCTGACTGTCCTGGAACTAGCTGGCCTTGAACTCACAAAGATCTGCCTCCCTCTGAATCCCGAGTGCTAGGATTAAAGGTGTGAGCCACCACCACCACCTGTCATATCCCAAGATTTTAAGTTGCTTTAATTATTCTGTTTGTATTTATCAAGATGTGAGGCCTCTAATATGGTGTGGGTTTTTTTTCATGATAATAAGGTGTCTAATCTACTCATACCATAGGACTTGAGGCTTGTTTAAAATTTGTGGTCTAGGGGTGTGTAGGCTCTGAGGTTCATCCCTTTGGTGGTTTGAATAAAAATGCCCCCAATCCATAGGGAGTGGCACTTTTGGGAGATGTGGAGTAGGTATGGCTTTGTTGGAGTAAGTGTGTCACTAGGGGTTGGGGTGGGTTTTGAGGTCTCAGATACTAAGCCAGACCCAGTGTTTCTGTCTTTTCCTGCTGCCTACAGATCAAGATGTAGAACTTCAGCTTCTTTTCCAGCACTGTGTCTGCCTGCACGCCGCCAGGCTTCCCACCAT